GTATAGTTTTTCAATTATTTTACTTCTCATTTGCTTTTATCAATATTCATATAGGATTATGTCGTTCGTTTTTATGGGTATTGGATTGAGTATATCATTCAATTTTACTTTTATTGTATTTATATTGGCAACAGATTCGGACACCTTTGTGTGTGTAGTATTTCATTCATTTTAATTCTCATTTGCCTTTTTCAATATTGCATATAGGTGTATGTGGCTCGTTTTTATGAGTATTGGATTTAGTATCGTTCACTTTTACTTGTATTGTATTTATACTTTTGTGTGGATAGTATTCTTTTATTTCAGTTCTCGTTCTCTTTTGTCAATATTCTATATTGGAGTATTTATAAAGAAAGAAATAAGGAAAAATTAAAAATGTAACGTATATCAATTACCAATAATTATAAACAGAATATGAATATGCAGTATTTTTTTTTAATAACAAACTGGAATTCCTAGTGAACGATGAACGATTCATTTTTGAAGAAGTGAACTAATCAGCTAAGTTTAGTGAAGTGATTCGTTCTTTAAGATTAGTTCGTTTGCAAACGACACATGTATAATGTTATGAACATTAACATAAACAAAAAATTTTGACTGGTGAGTGCAAACAAGAGCCATTTGTTTATTTAGTATTTTTTGTAGATGATGGTGGTTATGAACATTGTAATTACGAGTATTTAGACATATATTTATTTACTTCATGTTTAACTCAAACATTTTACAAAATATATTAAGTTATGTATATATTAAGTTAAAATTTTTTTTTTAATAATGACAATTATAATTATATATATTTTTAATTATTTTTAATAATTTCATATACATATATATGTATATGTATTTATTTTTGTGGAGCTGCAAAATTGAAACTAATAATTACCTATTATTACCAAATTAAAGTTAAGTCATAGTACTAGAAAAGAAATAAATAAAAAAAGCATTATCTAGTTGTGAAGTCTATAAAGGTGCTTCAATGAAGGGTCTTTCGTTATTGTGAAATCTAAATTATCTTTGTCCATGACTCAGCAGCATTCTGTTTATCGGCTCATTCATACGATAATTAGTCCTATGAAAGTGTACCGTAAAAAGATTTGACGAGCGAGATATCACATTAGTGTTAATGACGATTTTGCTCATATTGCCGGGCGATATGAGTTCCGACTTCAAAATAAAATGAGGAAAATAAACGTGTCACCCGCGATTTCTCGTCTATTAGATAAGGCTGGCATGTCAATGAGTGTTAATGTACATTCATAGGGAAATGAATAGCCTAAATTCTGTTTCTATGAACGCGATAAATTAGAGACCAAACCTGCGATGCCTATTTAAGATGTAAACAAACAAGGCAGGGGAAAAGAGATTTTAATGTGTAGGGGTCGTAAAAACTCACTCGAAGATGGCTTAATGAAACCCAACAAGGAACTTGCAATATAATTGCAATGGCCCAAAAATGAGAATTTAGAGTCAAAGGAAACTCCCAGGTTCTTAATAGCTAAAGCCCTTCTCAAACCATCAACATTAAAACAATAATTTGTCATAAGGGGCGCTTCGGGAGTGAGTAACTTACTACAGCACATTTGCTTCCGTTTACCTTTAAATTGTTAAAGGAGCACGTTCTGAAGTATTAGGGAATCATCTAATAACGAAATCTCTTCAAAAATTTTCATAGCGTCAGAATAAATAAGAGGCGCACTGGCTCCCAACTTCGAAATCAAATCATTTATAGAAATAATGAATAACAATAGCTCCAAATGGCTGCCCAGAAGCACATCCGAACCTGCCACAAAAGTTATCCAATTTATAAAATTGTTAGGAAAACCTAGAAGTCTTAACTTTAAAATTATTACTTCGTGAGAAAGAATGTCGAAAGTCTTACTGAAATCAATATAACAACATCAGTCTGAAATATAGCTTCCATGTTATTAGTGAAAATTGAAGTTGTCTCTAATAGATAAGTAACTGTCGATTTCTTTTTCAGAAAACCGTGTTAATTCTTTATAATAAAGGCGTGCAATAATCGTAAACGGAATCATATAACATCAATTCGGAAACTTTGTGAATAGCAGACAACTTAACTATACTTTTTACCTCAGTCCTAGACTTTCTTTTATGTGTCGGGTTTATAAACGCTTCCTTCCAATGAGATGTAAAAACTCCGGACGAATATGATTTACTGAAGATGAAAGTCTGGGGGACAGTCCGCGTTGCGGAGCAATTTTTTACATTTATCTCAGAAATTCCATCCGGCCCGGAAGCAAACTAGACCGTCCAAGTATTTTTTAACAATACCGGAGTTAGTACTAAAACTCGAAAACGTTGTCCTGAGATAGGTACTGAGGTATTGAAAATTGTCGGGATTTACCACATACTTTACCTGAATATATCGTCATTTCTAAATATATCGTTAAAATTGAGAAAAGTCGGTTAACTGTCAGACTTCCTTCTAAAATTAATGATATTCCAAAAAACTTTGGTATTACAAGCAATATCTTCCGATATCCGAGAAATATACAAATCATATTGTAACTTAACACTTCTTTTAAATCGTCACAGTTTGTTCTTTTTATTGCGCAAAGCTCTTGCTTCCCGGGCAAACCAAGTAGGACTGGAATTGATATCTTTCTTTTGAATTATGGGAGCGAAGAGGTCGAAGGCAAAAAAAAACTATTTCATAGAATCTACTCACTAGTAATTCAGCATCAGTAATTGTATATACTGAAGAAAAATCATAGGTCTAGAAAAAAAAATTCAATAAAGGAAAATTTGCCTTCCTAAAGTTAAAGCAATAGAAATAATCCTCGTCGATACAAGGTTGACTGTCTATACTATAAGAAAAAGAAAGGGAGTGATGAAAGACGTCAATACTAATCAACAGATCAGGACATTCAATAGAAAAAATATATCAGTCAAAAGTAAAAAAAAAATCTAATTGTTTAGATCGGTGATTGAGAGCAGAAGAGATCTGCTGAAGACCACTTAAGTGGAGTGAGTCAACAAGAGATATTTCAAAACCCGCAGCACCACCAATTCGGACCTAATAGGGTTCCTCGTACTGCAATCCAACTTGGGAATGATAAAGTCCCCACAGATAATGATCTTATCCGTAACACTTAAACTGCTATACAAGTTCTCCATCGCCTAAGAGAGTTTATTATAAACTTGAGACGCAGAGTTTGGCGGAACGTAGCAATTAACTACGACCAACGTCTTGTTCTCAAACTCAACCCTAACAACTATGATTTCAATGAATTCTGAGTTTAAGACCGAAACAAGGCTAGCGCAAAAGTCATTCCTAATAACAATTACAACTCCCTAACAACTCTTTTGATTCCCATGCCTGACCAACATCACTAGAATGCGACTCGTAACGGTTTTTTCTAAAGAGAGAATATGATGGCCCAAATATTTCCAAGCTGTTGATTGAAGAACGAAGCCAAATCTCCGATGACGCGAAAATGTCGCAGTACATGGTGGCAGAATTGGAATGGACTGTAGCCGTCTGACTTCACGAAGTCCACTAACGTTCTAATAATAAATTTAAACATTTATCCCAGATGTTCTTATCGGGCGAATGGTTAACACACAATTACCCATGGATACAAATAGGCAATTCACCTTCTCTTCATGTGACTACTATACATTGCCAACTTCTTTTCAACCATATCAGGAGTCATATTAAAGGTCAGGTGAAATCTCCTAAATTTCCTAAATTCTCCTAAATTTCCTAAATCTCCTAAATTCTAGACAGAGCTTGGTAATCTGGAATTAAGACCTCGCTCTCAATAAATACCTTCATGCTCAATTTAGTGTTTCTGTCATGGTGCACGTGATCGGCTGCGTCTTGTAGGTAGGCCAAGTACAGTTTCAAGTAATCGTAAACCACCCAATCCTTAAACCGAGCAAGTACGTAAGTATTACCGCTCTCCTCAACAGAAGCAAACTATAGGAGGCAACAGCGAATTGGCGAATTTAATTGACGAATTAATTATTGACGAACAATTAAAGCTAAAGTTCCTGAACTTGAAGAAAATGTTCACCTGGCGAGGCAACAAATGCGAGTCTTAAAAATGTTTTAAGCACAAGAGTGCAGAATGGTTTTATAAATTCAATTTTACGTTTAAATTATTTATTTTGTTTCAAATTAAAGTGTATTTTATCTTCAAAAATAAAAAATATGCTTAAATCGTCCTTTTTCCTATAGATGTTAAATACAATTTTATCTCATTTTCTTTTGACAAGTACATCCAAAAAAAGGTAGAAAAAGGAAACGTCAGCACATATATCAATAAATTATATAAAAACGTCGAATTAACTTGGGAAATCGAAATGCACTTGTGAGAAGAAAATTGGATAAAATTGGGGTCAACATCTACAGGTAACTACGCAAAGATGCATCCGAAAGGACTTGAACCATTCAGTGAAACATAAAATGGTAACATTTAACTCTGCGATCCACAGAATGCTTACTACACTGATAGATAAACAGAACTTTAAAGCAGAAGAAAAATTCATATTGGAGATGGCTGTGTATTGAATCCTTTTTTTTATGTGGCCATATTCTTGTTTCATTTTTTACTTTATAATTTACATATAAATATATTTACATACATAATATGAATATGTAATTACATCGTAATTGCATGTCTGCCCTGGACGGACAAACGGACAGGCAAAACTAAATTCACTCAGAATTCGACTCTGATCAAATTCAGTCTATATCTTAGACCATCATTTTTTAGCGTTACACACGGTAAGGCAAATTTCGTACACCCTTCGAACATACGTTTATACGTGTATATTTTTTTCTTCATACATTTTTTTTAAAATTCTTAAAATGAAAATGAGATTTCTCTACTCTACTCTCTCTGCTCTTTCTACGTGGTGGCCTTATTCTTATCAGGGCAGTGTGCATGTATTATACGTTTAAATGTAGTATATTTTTGCAAATATTTTTATTTTTAAACTGTTCAATATTTTGTTTTATTTAATTCTTTTAGCGTAATGGTACATTAACAGAAATTTCAACTATTAATACAGGCTTTACAGGCATGGAGGAATTTGGATATCTAAATAGGCTGAATGGCCTTGATTACATACCGCATTGGAAGGGTACTCCTTGTGGCAGTATAAATGGCTCTGAAGGTTCATTTTTTCCACCTCGGGATATAACAAAGTCAGATTTAGTTCATATTTATGATAAAGATTTGTGTCGAGTTATACCACTAAAATATCAAAAAGATGTAAACAAAGATGGCAAGTGAAAAAACAAAAGTTTATTTTGACAAATTTAATTCTTTTCGTTATTTTATTTGAAAATTTTAGGTATAAGCGCCGCTTTGTATGAATTACCTGAAAATGTTTATGGTGATTCAAAAAATAATCCTGACAACCAATGCTTTGATGAAGAGAGTTATGAACCCGTAAAAGGCTTGCAAAATATAAGTCCATGTCATTTTGGAGCTCCTGTGTATATATCAAACCCACACTTTTACCAGTCTGATCCTAGTCTATTAGAAAGCGTTGAAGGTCTCAAACCAAATAAAGTTAAACATAGAACATTTTTTAAAATACAACCCGTAAGTTTTTGTTTCCATATTTATTACGAATAAAACGCATTTTAATTCTAACAGAAATTGGTAACACTCCTTTTTTTTACAGAAATTAGGAGTTCCGTTAGAAGGAAAAGTCAGGATCCAGTTAAATTTGAAAGTTGACAAAGCTAAATACATTAGTTCAGTGCAAAATTTTAGAAACTTTATATTTCCAATTATGTGGTTAGAAGAGGTAATTTATAAAGTAAATTACAATTTGAACCGAAATAAAATTTATTTTTATTTCTTTTTGGTAGGGTATAAGTGAATTGACCCCATCAATTTGGCGATGGATTTATTTAGGTACAGTTTTTGCTCCAAATTGTGTACCTATTGTGTCATATATAACAATTTTAGTCGGAATATTTATGATAATATTCATGTTCGTTTATACGTTTAAAAATTATGTTTTTGTCCAAGACCCAACTTTGGAATTAATAGAAATTGGCCGCCGCTCATTAAGGCGTGGAAGTAGTTTTATAATTCACCAACAACATAAATTTATGTTACATAAAGAATGTTATACCCTTTTAAAGCCTTCTCAATCAGATAATGTAACTTCAACAGAAAACATTCAAAATATTCTTCTAGATTCATCAACATAGTAAAACACAATGGAAACTAGTTTTAAAATCTATTTAATAAATAAAAATTATTTAAGAAAAATTAGTAATATTAAAGTATACCGAATTAAAAACAAGCTCTCCAAACTATTTGAACTCTGCTTACCCAAGTAACAATTTTTAGCTCAAAAGACTCTTGTAGAACTATATTAGGAAATCTTTAAGAATATTACTCTTATAATTTCAGTTTGTAGAACACTAAAAGACCCTAATGAGATCTTTATAAGAACAAACGAGCGCAATTACTAGAGTTATTAATTCTTGTAATGAGAGTTAACATAAGCTCATAGTAAAAGAGTTTTAAAGCATATAACTCTCATACGTTTTGGTATACGAAAACTCTCACAAGCCATTTATAATAGTGTTACTAGGAAGAGAAAGCTATACATTGTAGAATAAATATATCGGTCTTACTTCGAACTTTATAAAAAATATATCTAAAATTTAATATCTAAAAATTTTTTCGACAAAATTGACGTAAACATATGTTTAGGTACATGATATGTAATCAATAAATATTTGTATTCAAAAACTTAATATCATAAAATTATAAATATGGGAAATTAAAATAATTTGTTTTGCCATGATTATAAATCAAAAAGTTGCTAGCATTAAAATTTTATTGATTAAAGTTGATATTGTACTTCGAAAAAAAGCAAAGCTACCTAAAAATAATTAAAATTTAAAAAATTTTTATACATATTTTTTAACCCTATAATATCTTATTTCTTTTTTTACATAAATTTTAAAATTTAAGAATTGTTAAGCAAAAAATAAATATACTAATGTGCATAAATTCCAACCAAAGCTTTATTATATTCAAATAGAACTATAATTTTGCATTTCATTAACTTTAATTTAATAATTTCTGTATTGTATGTAATGTAAAATAGTGTATCTTCGAATACATTTACCTAAAACATTTACCTAAAATAAAAATTATTTGGTAAGCTATCGTACAAATCCTTTTAATGAATTTTAATTGTGAAAATTAAACAAAAAAAAATTTTTAGCAAGTTATTGTTAAAATACTCGTATTTTTAAAAGCGATAGTTAATATGTAGAATATGTACTAGTTGCAAATTTTTGGATGCAATATAATATCATACAATATAAATATATGAGATATATACAGGATGTTTTATATAAGGTGGCAAATAATTTCAGGAATCAATTTTCAGCAAAAGATTTTATGGGTTTGGGGTGAGGTGGTGCAGGTATGCTCGTTTTCGATCTACAACCCGTTAAAAAAAAGTACCTGATTTTAAAAAGTACGGATGAAGTTATATGCATATAAGTAAATGCATATAACTTCATCCGTGTAATATAGGGTAGCTATTGGGCACTTGTTTTACAGGTGATTCATAGTTCTTTATTTTCTGGCTTACAATCAATTTTGTTTGAGCCACAGTTTTCGATATGAAGCTCCTCAAAATTAGAATTTTTGTTATCGTTTTTTTGATAAGAAACTTCTCGAAAATTTGTCTTATTTTTTTTCTTTTTATTTTTTTCGAAGCTCTACAATGAGAACTAAGAGTTAACCTCTACAACATTTTACTATATTTCCCATAGTTTGTCCATTAAAACGTGTTAAATATGTTTAAAAAAAATCTGATGTGTTCAGCAGATAACCGATCGCAATGTAAATTGTCTAGATTAGTAAAAGTATTCCAGAATTGCATTTTAAATACATCATTTAATAATATTTTATTAGGAAAATGCGTTTTAAATACTTCTTTACAATTTTAAGGATACTAATAAGCTTTTAGTTAACATATCTAGAAAAATGTGAATTTCGCTCTTTTTGTGTCGCCTGAATCATTCGAAAAGTTCGTCAGTGATTTTCAGTAACAACCAGAGCTCAAATATCAAATTTCAAGAAATTCGTTCCGTACATATGGTAAAAAATGTAAGATCGGCCCCAAAATCGGTTTCCGAGCGCTGATCTTTCCAAATTTGAAAAGATTCATTCTTTTAACACCTCGAATTTAAATTTTAAATTTCAATGAAATCGGTTGATTATTTCTCTTTATATACGCAAAAATTGATACACATTTTAGACGTAGTAAACGGCTAGTTTCTGATACCTGATTTCTTCCAAAAATTAGGTGGTTTCGCGTACTTTTGAGTGAAGCTTATATATGAAATTTCAAGTAAATCTGTTAAAATATTTTCTTCAAAATGATCAACAATGTAAAACAGTCCAGTTACCGAGGCCTGATATATCCCAAAAGTTGATCAATTCCATAGTCGAAGTAAACTTACATATAAAATTTCATCAGAATCACACAATGTGAAAGAAATGAAAAAGTGCATTCTTACAGAAAACTCGATGCGCAAAATTTGTTGCCATCACTTAACCTCCCTTGTTATATGCAATGTCGGCAAAAAAAAAGAAAGGCAAATTTTCAAGAAATTTCGAGTTCTTAAAAAAATTTCAAAAAAAAAATGTTCACTTTGGCGAGTTCTATCTCGAAAACAGTAGCTCAAATAAATTTTATTGTAGGACCGAAAATAAATAACGATCAATTACCTGTGAAAGAAGCACCCAATGGTTACTGTATGACGCATGGATCCGAAGTAATAAGCATTTATTTATATACAGGAAATTCTGGTGCCTTTTTCTAACAGTATGACGCATGGATCCGAAGTAATAAGCATTTATTTATATACAGGAAATTCTGGTGCCATTTTCTAACAGCACCCACGTTCCCTTGCTCGTTAATTTCCCACAAAATCAAAACAAACCTGTATATCTCATTTATTTATATAATTTAATAACACAGTAATGACGAAAATTTACAAAAACTTGAATAAACCCAAGTAACAATTTTCAAGAGTAATACCCCAAAAAAATTGACCAAAACTCTCATAAAACTCTCATACCACACTCCAATATTCTTATAATTTTTTTTTCCTTTTTGTTTTTATGCAACTCTCATAATTCTTTTTCCTTTTTGCTTTTATGCAACTCTCATAAGGTTCTTATAATAAGACTTAGCACTTGTAGTGTTAAAAATTCTGCAACTCTCATAGCAATACTACTTTCAGCAAGCCATAAAAAATTTTAATTCTCATCATAAAGTATTTTTTATAAGATGTCAACTCTTTTAGAATTTTGTTCTTAAAAAAATTTTTTTATAGTTGTTAGGCACGGCCATTTTAGTATTTTGATTTAGGCACGGCCATTTTCCTTATCTAAATTTTAACCCTAATGAGACTGAGAATTCTTTTTTTTGGAAAGAAGTCCGAAAAATATTTATTGTACAGAAATTTTTAAATTTAAATTAATGAAATGCAAAATTTTAGTTTTATTTGAATATAATAATGCTTTAGTTGGAATTTATGCACATTAGTATATTTATTTTTTGTTGAACAATTCTTAAATTTTAAAATTTATGTAAAAAAAAAAGAAATAAGATTTTATAGGGTTAAAAAATATGCATAAAAATTTTTAAATTTTAATTATTTTTAGTTGGTGTTGCTTTTTTTCGAAGTATTAGGTGCGCAACTAAGTTCTCGCTGTTTTTTTTATTAAAATGCAACTTCACTGTCAATAAACACTTACATATACATCATTCAAAGTATTGCCCATCGCTGGTTACAACTTTTTCCCATCTTTCTGGCAGAGCTTTAATGCCGTTGCGATAAAAGTGCTCGTCTTTAGAGGCTATCCACGAATTGAGCCATTTTTCGATGTCTTCATATGAGCGGAACTGCTGATCAGCCAGACCGTGTGCCATCGAACGGAACAAGTAATAGTCGGACGGCGCAATATCTGGGGAATATGGCGGGTGGGGTAGGACTTCCCATTTGAGCGTTTCTAAGTAGGTTTTGACGGGTTTGGCAACATGAGGCCGAGCGTTGTCATGCAGTAGAATCACTTTTTCGTGCCTTTGCTCGTATTGTGGCCGTTTTTCGCGCAGTGCTCGGCTCAGTCGCATCAATTGGAGTCGGTACCGTTCGCCAGAGATGGTTTCGTTTGGTTTCAAAAGCTCATAATAAATAACACCAACCTGGTCCCACCAAATACACAGCATAACCTTCGCAGCGTGTATATTTGGCCGAGCCGACGACGTAGAAGCGTGACCGGGCAGTCCCCATGACTTTCTCTTTTTTGGGTTGCTGTAATGAATCCATTTTTCATCCCCCGTTACAATGCGATGAAGAAAACCCTTCCTTTTTTGCCGCTGGAGCAGTTGTTCACAGGCGAAAAAACGACGCTCAACGTCTCTTGGCTTCAAATCATATGGAACCCAAGTTCCTTGCTTTTGAATCATTCCCAACGCATGCAATCGCTTAGAAATGGCTTGGCGGGTAACTCCTAATACCGAAGCAAGCTGTTCTTGTGTTTGGCATGGATCCTCATCGAGCAATTTCACCAATTCAGTGTCTTCGAATGTTTTTGGCCTTCCTTCACGCGGACAGTCGTCAATATCGAAATTACCATCTTTAAAGCGACGGAACCAATCGCGGCACGTTGTTTCACTCAGAGCAGCATTCTCGTAAACTTTTTTCAACTCTCGATGCGCTTCAGCCGCCGTTTTTTTCGAATTAAATAAAAAAAGTAGCACTTCCCGCAAATGACGATTTTTTGGCGCAAAATCAGACATTTTCACACAACGAGAATTCTATGACGCCACAATGAAATCACTTATGTGTCAATGCGGTTTGTTTACCACATGTCACAGCCTCATTTATGTGGTTTTGGATATATCAAAATCGACCAACACCTACTGCTGAAGCCATCTATTGACAAACAGCGAGAACTTAGTTGCGCACCTAATACAATATCAACTTATCGTAAAAAAATTAATTATTAAAAGCGGAATAGTTATATTTTTTATAAAGTTGGAAGTAAGACCGATATATTTATTCTATAATGTATTGTTTTCTCTTCTTAGTAATACTATTATAAATGGCTTGTGAGAGTTTTCGTATACCAAAACGTATGAGAGTTATATGCTTTAAAACTCTTTTACTATGAGCTTATGTTAACTCTCATTACAAGAATTAATAACTCTAGTAATTGCGCTCTTTTGTTCTTATAAAGATCTCATTAGGATCTTTTAGTGTTCTACAAGACTGAAATTATTAGAGTAATAAATTATCTTAAAGAATTCTTAATATAGCTCTACAAGAGTCTTATGAGATAAAAATTGTTACTTGGGAATATTATTTAGCAAATAAAGTAAGTTAAATTTTGTATAATAAGAAAGAATATTAACAAAGAATATTAACTTTGACGTTGAAGCAGAGATAAATTGAAACTTCATAGTGCATTGAGTAAAGTGGATTAAACGATTTGCTGTTGAACGATGCACTGTTTTCAAAGAAACCTAAATACGCACAGGTACTATTTAACCGAAATGCCTATAGCGCATTTTAAAATAATAAATTTAAACATATTGTTAAAAATTATCGTCACTATCCATTTAATTTCAAACAGAAGAAAGTACATCCATTTTTATATTCATCGCTCTGAAATCTTAACTAAAATTAACAAAGCTTTTATAAATTCTACGTAAGAAATTAAAACAT